CAGGAGCTCGGAGGGGCAGTTTTTCTCCAGCATGACCCTCTGGGGGCTCGCCATGAAGACGCTGCAGAACGAGACGGAGCTGGACCAGTGAGGCCCTCGCCCGCGTCCCCAGCGCCTCTCCAGGCCCGAGCCGAGACCACCAGGGCAATCTAGTGTCCGCCGGACGGGGCAGGGGGTGCTGGGGCGGGAGGCCCACCCTCAGAGCCACGGTCCCAGTCCTCGGCCACGAGGGAGCATGGTCTGTGTCACCTACTGTACACTGCATAATTTTAAAATATTTAATAATACAAATGTTATTTTTGCATTTTTATCGGATTGAAATTTGTAGCATTTGTATTTTTAAAATTTACAGATTATATTTGTATATGAAACTAATTTAATTTGAATAAATGAAACTTGTTTTTTTATATATTCTGTTTCATCCAGCATTTTTATGAATCTGGAAGCCAGAGTGTTATAAAAATGAATGTGAGTGCACAAAGCCTTGGGTTCGATTCTCAGCATTGCCATAAAATAAAAACAGAACGCTGATGAGCAAGGATTATGGTTCCTGTGGATCTAAGGGCATGAGGACAGCCAGGCTTGGGGCCGGGGTTTTAGCTCAGTGGTTCCACCACCTGCCTCGCAAGCACACGCTACCGAGTTTGATCCCTGGTACTAAAAAAAGGACATCAGGCTCCCAGAGCCACATCTTGGGGGTCAAGGCTAGCGCACCTCTGGGCTGCATTCTCTGGTGTGGGGGGCACCTGTGCAGCCCTCTCTCAGCCCCCCAGGGCCTGGCCAGGAGGGCTTCTCACCATGTGTACCATAGGAACAGAAATATGCTTCCCTGCCTCCTGTGACCCCACCAGTGCCTTCCGTGTCTCCCGGGGTCTCTGGCACTGGCACCCACTTGGGAACCCTGCAGACTCGGCTCCTGTCGTCCCTGTCTACCCACCCCCTTCCTCTGCCCTGACTAAACCTCTAGAGTTGTCCACTTCCCCCAGCAGGGTTCACTGGAGGATGAAAGAGCAAGGCTCATAGAGGTCTGCATGCATTCTTTTCTATTCCCAGTACGGTTGCTGCATCCTGGCTTCTCAATGAGCCCCATCCCCAGCCCTTTTGTATATATTTTTTTTAATTTCCAGTCAGTGTCTCCCTAAAATCACTAAATTATCCAGGCTACTTTCAAACTGGATCATCCTGCTTCAGCCTCCCAAAGTGCTGGGATTATAGGTTTTCATCACATCTAGGTTTGAGGTAACCATTACTGACTAAAACTACTTCATGGGGATAATTTGATCTTGTGGAATAAAACATTAGGGGAAACAATTACCTTTCTCCCTTTGGCACCCTGTGCCCGAAGCCATACACACACGCGCGCGCACACACACTGGCCCCTGACCCCAGTCAGAAAAGACAATGGGCTGGGCCATGGCCCAGCTCTGTCCCTAACTCACGGGGTGACAGCTGCCCTTCCCTCTCTGGTCTTTGGTGTCCTGACTAGAATTTCATGCCCGCTGCTCTCTGATTCCTTATGAATAGCCTGTGACCAGGTTTCCACCAAGCTCACGAGGGTCAGGCACTGCTTTCATGACAAGATTGGGAGACAGAGGTCCAGGGACAGCAGATCATCAGAAAACTCCTGGCATCTTCTAATGCCTGCGCTTAGAAATTCCTTCCATGGGGCCTGGCTTCAGGTGAGCCAGCGGGACGGCTGGGAAACCGTGCTGGTGTTTGCAAGCCTTGATTCAGCGGGCGGGGACGAGGGCCAGGAAGCAGCCTGTAGCAACTTTCCTGGGAGATGCTGGGGCCTGCAGTGCAGGGCAGTGCCTGGAGGGGTGACTTGGGTGAAGTCCTCCGTGTTGCGGACGCACCGGCATGCTAGGAGTCACGCCCGGTGATAACGGTAGCAGAGGTGCCAGGTATGCAGTAAATACTCTGCACAAATTGTGTTTAAAGCTCATCACAGCCCTGTGAGGTTCCCTTTGGGGAAAGCCACTCCGTGAGAAATCAAGGAACTTCCAGGCAGGAAGGGGCAGAGTTAGGTCCCAGGTCCCATAGTGGTTGACAGAGGCCAGAGCCAGGATCAGACGCAGCCCAATGGAAGGCTTCATTCGCTGCTGGGCAGGAGACGGCTCCAGAGAATAACTTGCAGGGCCCAGGGTGTAGCGCAGCCTCAGAGCACTTGCCTGGCACGCTCAAGGTGCTCAAGGTCCCGGGCCCATCCACAGCACTGGAGCAGAAAGAACAACTTGCTCTGGTCATGTATGTGAAACCTCAAACTCCTTCCTACAAGAGCACATAGGATTTCCCTCACTGCCACAAGGTGCCTGGGATAAATCCATGAATGCAGCTTGTTTCATTGTGGTGGTGCTGGGAGTTGAAGCCAGGGCCTCACGCATGCCAGGAAAGTATTCTAGCACTGAGCTAGCCAGGTGTGGTGGTGCATGTCTCGATGTCAGTACTCCAGAGGGCTGAGGTAGGAAGGCTGCAAGTGTAAGTCCAGCCTGTGTAATGACTCAGGGAGACACTGTTTCGCAATAAAAAGTAAAAGGGTCAGGGATTTAGTTCAGTGGTTCCGCTGCCTGCCTTGCAAGCACAAGGTCCCGGGTTCGATCCCCAATACCCAAAAAATAAATAAAAAGTAAAATAAAGGGGAGGTGGATATAGTTCAGCACAAAGGCCCTGGGTTCAATCCTCACTACTACAAAAGGAAAGGAAAGGAGGAGAAAACTTTTAAATGGGTTTTGATGTTGTACACCTGTAGTCATGGTCACTGAGGAGGCTTGAGGCAGAAGAAGCACAAGTTTGAGGCCAATCTGGTCAATTTAGTGAGATCCTGCCTCAAAATTTAAAATTAATACAAGGTTGGGGCTGTAGCTCAGTGGTGGAGCATCTGACTGGCTAGCACGGGAGCCCCGGTTTAAGGAAAGCTCCCTGTGACTCTCAGAGCCCAGCGACTCATCCCTGCCCCATCTCCTGCTGTTTCTTATCCGCGATGAGTGTGAGGAGAGGAGGAAAGGACCCTCCTGAGGCATCTTCACCCTGCAGGGCACAGCCCGGCAGCCCCAGCCCAGCCAAGGTGCGTCCACACTGGAGCAGGGCGTACTTCCTGCCAGGCAGGGGACTGGCCAGCTTTCGACAATCAGTGTAGGAGGAGGAAGGGTCATCTCGGCTCCCAGCTCCAGAGGCTGCGGTCCATGGTCGTTTGGCCCCTGCTGTGGGCCGGGCTGGCCCAGGACTCCGTTGGAGCCCAAGGAGAAAGAGGCTGCTCAACTCCCGGGAGCCGGAAGGGAGATGGAAGGGGCGGGTCCTGGGGGGGGGTCTTAAGGCCACACCCCAGTTACCTCCCTTCCTCTCACCAGGTCCCGCCTCCGTGAGGCTCCACCCTTCCTCCATATCCAAACTACCTCAGGGAGTTTCTTCTTTACATCCCCTTTGTCGTCTTTTCTCTTAGCTTCTTGCTAAAGAAGTGGGAACAGCAACCACGGGCAGTGTCTGGGCAGCCTGCGCACTCTCCCCGGGGCCTGGCTTTGGGTTAGGCAACGCAACGACCATGGGCATATGGTGTAGAGTGAGGCGAGCTCTTTGCTGGCCAGCCCCGTTGCGACCCCGCCTTCCTCACTTTCCTCCTCGGAAGTGTGGTGAGAACTGCTCACCTTAGGGGCTGCCATGAGGATTAGAAGCCAGATCCAAAGGCGGGAGGAGGTAGCTTGAGATTAACATGGATCTTTGTCACTGTTCTCTCATGGGGGTGGCAGGGGAACATGGAGTTTGACCACTTCTGCTCACGGCTGACTTCTCCAGCCTGGAACGCTGTCTGGCATAAAACACTCACGCAAAGGGGACTTCTGAATAGAGAGTGCAAATGGCTCTTATATTAAACAATGGCATTTAGTCACATTAGTCAGCTTTTCCATCACTGGGATGCAATACCCAACACCCACAACGTACAGGGGAAAGGTTTGATTTGTCTCACGGTTTCAGAAGATCAGTCCCTGGTAAGCTGGCTCCCAGGCAGGGACATCGTGGTGGAACAGCATCAGGGGGCAGGGCTGCTCAGGTCATGGTGCCAGGAAGCAGAGCAGGGGAACAGCGCCAGAGAGGAAGGGGCCGGGGGTCAGACCTAGTCCTCAACCACTATCATGGCGCCATGACCCCCCCAGGCAAACCAGGGTGCTCCCAAGCTAATCAAGCCACCCAGTTAAGCTTACTCACCACAGCAGTTATTCTAGTTGTTAAAGAAGCCAGTAATGGTTTTACCTAAACTTCAACCAAAGGCTCGTGACTGTTGTTATACCTGCCCTGACCCCAGCACCACAGGTGGAAGCCATGGCTTCTGGTACCTCCAGTTGTGAGTTTGTTTGGAAGTAAGGTCACTGCCATTGCCAACTGAAAGGAGGCCCCCCTGGAGCAGGGTGGGGCTCTGATCTGGTGTCTTTGTGAGAAGAGGAAGCTTGGAAATACAGAGAAGCCCAGCAAGAACACGCTGTGAGGATGAAGGCAGGGGTGGCCGGCTGAACCCATACGCCCAGGAAGCCACGGACGGCCAGCTCACAGGACCCTCGGAAGGAGCCAGCCTGCCCGCACTTTCATCTCTGACTTCTGTTTCCAGAGCCGTGACAGAAACTTGTGTTACTTCAGCCACTCCCTCAGTTTATGGGAATTTATTACAGCGGCTGGAGCAAACCAAGTCACTCATGCTTGCAATGCTCAAATACAGAATATTAAGGCCTCCAAATCTAGTTCACACTGTGCATAGGTGTGCAGAGAATTACAATGTCTTAATTCTTTCTGAGGCCAGGCAGTGCAGAGAAATAAACAAAATGTCTGATCCAGTTTAAAGCTTGAAAGAAAGCTGGGCATAGTGGTGCACACCTACAATCCCAGCCTTCAGGAGGCTGAGGCAGGATGATTACTGAAACTTCAAGCCAGCCTGGGCATTATAGTGAGTTCAAGGCCAGCCTGAACTACATAGTGAGACCCTGTTCAGAAAAGCTAAAGAATAAAGTTTGGGAGAGCGTGAAGACTCCCTCAAGAAGGGTCCACTTTCTTAGCTGTCCCGTGCCCTCTTAGCCGTCCCCTAATGTGGACATGGGGACTGGCACACACGGCTTCTTGTGCTGGTGGGAGGAGCCGTGGACCCTGGGCCAAGTCCCAGCCGCTCTAAA